AAAAAATATGGAAACTCATAAAGAACAATATTTTCTGGCTCTAAGACTACTTTGACATTGTAAGTTCATTAAATTAAAATTAACTCATATTAGATTATTACCTCAATATTTATATTTTAGTGGATGTGTAGTATCATCAACACCAACAACATCAGTAACACCAAATAAGAAAAGACTAATCCAGATGCCAATAAATGAAACATTTCGTTCAATTGAATCTTTTTCAGGTACCTATTAAATATAAATAATATTAAAATATATACTCAAAAATAATAGTATAGAATAGTAATTATTAGGAAGGTACCTTTACAAAGTTAAATTCTATAAATAATTATCAAACTAAAAAATAACAAATTCTTAGTAAATTTGCAATTTTTTGTATGAATATTACCAGTTGTTTAATATGAAAAATTAGCTTAAGTAAAAAAATATAAGTTTTTAATGTATTTTTTTTTTCTTGTTGTAATATATTTTTATACAGTAGCCGCCGCTTATTGGACTCACTTTGGGACCCGACAATTTGAGTCGATTAACCGAATGAGTCAATAAGGCGAATGACTCAAAAAAATTTTAAAAATCCTTAAATTTAAAACCGTATTACTTAAAAATATGTATTGAGATTCAATATGTATGTATAAAAATAAAAATCTATACGCAATTAAAAATAAAATAATTAAATAAAATATGTACCTAATTAATAAAATAAATTAATTTTTTGATAAAGTGTATTGATGTAGTGTTAGAGGGTAAGAATACGAGGTTAATATGTTTACATTTCACTGTAACCACATGAGCCGTGCAGTTATCGACTAGCAATAAAACGTCATGATGAAGTTCATTGTCCCACTTGATCAGCCATTCGGTGAAAATTTCTTTTATCATCCATGCATTACTGTTTGCAGTATAGTCTACCGGTAGATTCTTAACACCCTTGAAACACCGGGGATTTTTACTTTTACCAATCACAAGCAGTTTTCTTTTTTCACCATCCATACTCGCACAACATAATATGGTTAGACGTTCTTTACTAGTTTTAGTTCCTCTAGTTTTTTCATTTTTGAACGCGTAAGTGTGCTCAGGTAATGCCCTGAAATAAAGTCCAGTTTCATCCGCATTGAACACACAAGACGGAGGATGTTTGGCGATAAGTGATGGCCATTCTGAATGAATCCACAACCGTGCAGCTACATGGTTGGCTTCTCCCTGTTCTCCATGTGGCTTAACGAATGAAATGTTTTCGCGTTTCTTCCATCGGTGAAACCAACCTTCTGTTGCCACAAAATTATCTTTGCCTATTTTTTTCGCAAGATCTTCGGCTTTTTGGCGCAAAAGTGGTCCTGTAACTCGGACATCTTTTTGTCTGACTTTTGTGAACCATTGCTTTAAAGCTTCTTCAACTTCTTCTTTACCGACCCTTTTTCTTTCACGGTTTGAATTCACATTTTCTAATGATGCGTTTTCGATTTCCTGTCGACTTTTCAGCATCCTACCTAGTAAACTTTGAGACACGTTCAACTTACATGCTGCTTGTCGCTGGCTCGTTTTCGGAAGCTCGTCATATTTTTTAAGAACATCTAATTTTTCTTCCACACTCAAATCACGTCGTTTGTTCATTGTAACATGATAAATAAAAATGTTCACACAGAATGTAAACGCAGACAACACACTAAACACGACGACGTCTATTCATACACTACCTGCCGTACTAATTGACATTGACGACTGCTTGGTTTATCGTGAAAAGTAATTTATTTTATCTCCGCGATAAAAGCAAAATATGTACCGGTACCGACTTATTTATAACACGTTTTTTCAATGTATGTGCATATTTTCCTTGTTTATCTGATTTTAAAATGACCCTAATAACCGGTGTGTGAGTCGAATAGACGAATTTTTTGCTGTGTGTTAGTATATATGCAAATCGGGGCCAGCCGTTTTGAGTCTAATAGACGAATGAGTCAATTAACCGTGAGTCCAATAAGCGGCGGCTACTGTATATATTTAGTAAAATGATTGATATTTTAAATATTATATTGCTATTTTAGTTCTTTATACAAAGTTAAAGAATCAAATTTAAGTAACATAAAATAATTGTGTTTTATAAATTAATTTCAGAAGGAGGTACTAAGTATTCAAAACTTTCTAATGCACTAGTTTTCATGATTGCCAAAGATGGTCTACCTCTTAATATAACAGAAAAAGAAGGTTTTCAAGCTTACTCAAAAGTTGCTACTCCATTATTCAAGTTACCTAGCAGAAGAAGTATAACCAGGATGTTAGATAATAAGTATGATATGATTACTGAGGTATACCGAAATCTTATAGATTCT